AACGCTCTTCTTGCCGAATAAGGCAAGTGAAAAATTGTGTATGCAGTAATGTCGCAAAAATCATTCTGAGCCTAACGAAAAAAAATATATTTCATTGTATCTGTTTATTATTTAATTATTGTAAACTTATCTAAAATATATTGGATTAGGCTAACTTTAACTGCGCTTGTTATAATAAGCTTGGGTAAGTTTTCTAAGGTTCTTTTGGTAAAAAAATTAAATTTTTTTACATTAGCATAAATGAAAAAAAAATATCCTGAAAAGTATAAGAGAAAGTTTTAGAAAGGGCCTAATTTTAAACGAGTTCTTGCTTATTGACCAATTTTACCTGTTCGGCACGGCATATATGTATTGACGCAGGACCTCTGAGAATCGTGTGGAAGCGCCGACTTGTCATGGTATCGTCCACTCGACTGAGCAAAGCACCTGACCTACAGAACAACTGTCACCCACTTGAGCGAAACGTCTTGTTGACACAGTAACGAACACAAACCTGGTTAACATATACTTACAACACAGCTCACACGTCTGAGCAAAGGATTTTGACAACACAGCAACCAACACACACCTGGTGGAAGCATCCTGACAACACAGCAACCAACACACACCTGATGGAAGCATCCTGACAACACAGCAACCAACACACACCTGATGGAAGCATCCTGACAACACAGCAACCAACACACACCTGATGGAAGCATCCTGACAACACAGCAACCAACACACACCTGGTGGAAGCATCCTGACCTCACAGCAACCAACACACACCTGATGGAAGCATCCTGACAACACAGCAACCAACACACACCTGATGGAAGCATCCTGACAACACAGCAACCAACACACACCTGATGGAAGCATCCTGACAACACAGCAACCAACACACACCTGATGGAAGCATCCTGACAACACAGCAACCAACACACACCTGATGGAGGCATCCTGACAACACAGCAACCAACACACACCTGATGGAGGCATCCTGACAACACAGCAATCAACACACACCTGATGGAGGCATCCTGACAACACAGGAACCACTACACACCTGATAGAGGCATCCTGACAACACAGCAACCAACACACACCTGATAGAGGCATCCTGACAACACAGCAACCAACACACACCTGATGGAAGTATCCCGACAACACAGCAACCAACACACACCTGATGGAAGCATCCTGACAACACAGTAACCAACACACATCTGGTGGAAGCATCCAGACAATACAGCAACCAACACACACCTGATGGAAGCATCCTGACAACACAGCAACCAACACACACCTGATGGAAGCATCCTGACAACACAGCAACCAACACACACCTGATGGAAGCATCCTGACAACACAGCAACCAACACACACCTGGTGGAAGCATCCTGACAACACAGCAACCAACACACACCTGATGGAAGCATCCTGACAACACAGCAACCAACACACACCTGGTGGAAGCATCCTGACAACACAGCAACCAACACACACCTGATGGAAGCATCCTGACAACACAGTAACCAACACACACCTGGTGGAAGCATCCTGACAACACAGCAACCAACACACACCTGATGGAGGCATCCTGACAACACAGCAACCAACACACACCTGATGGAGGCATCCTGACAACACAGCAACCAACACACACCTGATGGAGGCATCCTGACAACACAGCAACCAACACACACCTGAACGAAACATCTGACAAGCCAACAAGAACCTTCAGCGCGCCTGAGTGAAGAAACGTGTGGTGGCTGGAGTTTCTTAATGTTTAATGTCTGAGTGAGAGCACCAAGGTGAACTAGAGTATAAGAAACAGTTTACACGCTTAAAGGTTAATGTTTGACCATGTTGTTTAGTTATCTGTAATGAAGGATTCTCTCTCTCTATGTCTTTCTATATCTATCTTTATATTTCTATCTATATTCAATTATATCTACATCTCTCTATTACTTGCTTGCTTACACACACACACACACACACACACACACACACACACACACACACACACACAATAGGATAGGAAGAAAAGTACAATTTAACGACCTTTTAAGGCTAAGAAAAGAAATTGACCTTTGGGAGAATGACAAAAAAAACATTAGGAAAGAGAGACATACAAGGTTGCAGATCGTGGTCTAGCAGCTAGCAGGGCAGAGTGCTAGATCTAGCAGTGCTAGATCTAGGGTAGGGGAAACTAAAAAAATCTTAGATCTAGGGAATATAGAAACAGGGAATTAGTTACTCTGCTCAATGATGGATATCACAAAAAAAATATTTTTTACTTAGCCTGCAGAATATTTTGTGTATTCTGAAGAATAGAGCAGCAGCTCGAAGCAAACCTAGTGACAATAACACATATAATAACAATTGTAATCTAATAATTGAATAAAGAGGAGAGACAGGAAGCACTGTACTGCAGATTACTTTATCTGATTGGTGTTTCATACAGAGTATTTCATATCATAAGTTACCCAGTAAATCTATCGCCAGTTTTCCTAAAATGAAACTCATAAGACGACCGTTCATGCTCTCCTGTAATGGAATGCTTGACGATATCCTCATTGACCTACTGAAGTCTCCCAGTTCAATTTGACAGATTTCATCTCTCGTTGTATATAAAAAAAGTATATGACAAGAAAAACGTGTATATGACACGAAAAACACGTATAAGACAATAAAACCCTCTAAAATTGCAAGAAAAACATGTATTTGACAAGAAAAAACATGTATATAACAAAAAATAACTTGTTTTCGTTCCTACTCTATAGCTATCATGTAGAATTTGGCAGTATCTGAATGCTGATATTTCTATCTTTGATAAATAAAAAAAAAAAAAAACCACACAAGCCGAAGGCATCTTGGTCAATAAGTCGAGTCTGTATTTGATAACCTTAATTAAATCAATGTTAGAAAATAATTATAAATTAATTCCAGAAGAACTTGCCTCTGCCCACCTGCAGATGAAGCTGAATGTGCTGCTGACTGTGGTGTGCCTGCTGGTGCTGGCCCTGACGGCACTGACGGAGGCCAAACCTCAGTTCTTCGATGCTGTCGGTGACTTCGTTGAGGACGTCGGGGAGGGCGTAGGGGATTTCTTCGAGGGAGTCGGAAACTTTTTCTCAAGTACGATAATCAATATCCATGTCCTCTTATGAAAGGCAGGTGTACAACACTTGGAAATCTTTTCCTTATTTAAGAATATAAAAAAGAGCACTGCAGAAGACCTACTGACCCATGCTAGGCAGGTCCAAGTCACCTACTAGCCCAAGCTACTGGCTGAAACCAGTCAGGTCCAAGTTACATCCACTTAAGAAGGATTGGGCCCATGTCTTTCCATGGTCTTCCTAAAAACTCGTTAACCTGATATCCTTCTACGTTCCAACATGTTCTCCAGAGGTTCTCTCTCTTGCCTCTTGAAAATTTTCATTGTCAAAGTGTCTTATTTACCAACTTTTTTGTTCCCTCTGTCATCTCTTTAAGGGTTAATGTTCTATAGTCTGTTAAGTTCGTTTACTTTGTTGTTCTAATGGGTGGTGGAGCCTAATGCTGGTAAGAGGCTCTTGTTGCACTGACATGGAGCTACTCTCCCCTTCCTTTGCACCAAACCTGATTACCATTTATTGCCCAGGCGCTGTACTGCCCCTACGGGGTTAGCTCTTTCCCATGATTATATTAATGTGTAGTGTCATGAAAGTTGCCGCCTTGAGACCTTGGGATGTCGTCTTGAAATAATTTAACAATTTTGTTTACTGTGTAATTAATTTCTCGTGGTCTGCGATCACCAACAGTCTGACGGGTGAGAGACCGATGCAACAATTAGAGAACGGAGGATCGAGCTTCCGCCACGTCATGCACTGTGCAATGCAAACAGAATAAGCGCTTCGTTACATCCAACACAATCGCAGTGGCTTGACAAAGTAGCTGTCATCTTCGACCTAACAATTTCACCTTATAGCTGAACTTAACAATTAGTGTTTTCATTTGTGATCCTTTCTAACCTTAGAGTTCCTCTCCCACTTAGATTATCATCAAAATCTTTCTGATATTTTTAAAGTTTCATTTGACCTTTCATCTTGTTCTTCTTGTCCTCAGGCTCTCATTCGAAATTTCTTCCTTCCTAAACTCGTCTGACCTTTTCTCGAGCTGCTTAGTTTTATTAGACTCATTTAACACATCTTGGTCTTCTTACTCATCTGTTTCTCCTAGACCAATTTACAAACTTGTCTTTTTTTGGTCTTGTTTGAATCGTCTGCCTCGTCTTGACTTCCTTAGATTCATGTAGCTGCTTGTGGCTTTCTTAAACTCAAATCTGACTCCTTGTGACTTTCTTAAAGTTCTGTCTCACTACTCTTGACCTTAAACTCTTATCTGACTCCTCTTGACCTTTCTAAAGTCGACTAGCTTTTATTTGATTCAATAATCACACGTAACTCTCTTTACTTTTTTAGATGCACCTGACTCCTCTTGAACACCTTAGACTCGTCTGACTTACTGACCTTCAAAGACTCTCCTCACTACTATTGACTAAGGTTTAACTGACTGTTTTTGATCTTTTAGACTCGCCTGACTCCTCCTGACCTCCTGACTCGTGAAATTCTTACACTCGCTTAACTTACTGACCAAAGACTTGAATAACTCCAACTGACTTTTAAAGACTCGTTTGACTCATGACCACTTTAGACCCGACTGACTCATGACACTCTTAGACTCACCTGACTCCTCTTGCTTGCAGATCTCTTCGGGACCAGCAGAACTCAGTCGACCCCCATACCTAGGAGGACCCAAGCAGTAGTGCCACCCTCCAGCCCCGGCCTGGTGTCTGCCTACGACAACATCCAGCCTGGCAGCAACCTGATCATTGTTCCTGATTAATTAAGATAGTTCAGGGAACACCACGATCCTAATGACCTAGGGCACGGGGAAGGGAAACATCGAGAGGGGAAACATGAGTGGGTCACCATGTGTAACTCACTACGAATTTAATAAAAATACTGATTTCATTTTATCTTTATTCTCCAGAAAAACGTATGGAACTCGTATTGGTTTAGGCAATGGCCATGCTTCTTTGACATAGGCCTAAGCCTCTGACAGATTGTGGTTATGTAAGTTTAGAAAATGCATTAATTCATCAAATACGAATATAAGAACTTCATAAATGCTTTTGGGGAAGTAGTGAATCACTGGTCGTACCCGTGCCTTAAGCTTTGCGTTTTCCATCGAACTTCTCAAAAAAATAACATTTATCACATTACAAAATGAGTATTGATGTTTCTCAGAGTAATAAGGCATATTTATTGCGATGTCTGAGGATGTAAGAGTGTTAGATGTAAATGTCTGAGGACGTAAGAGTATTAGATGTAAATGTCTGAGGACGTAAGAGTATTAGATGTAAATGTCTGAGGACATAAGAGTGTTAGATATAAATCTTTGATGTCTCGCTGAGACAATACTTCCATGAAAACAGATGAAACATCAGAGATCTTCAGGTTATGGCCCTGACCTGCCATGTGAATACTAATATACTGTGAAATGCTCTGCTTGCACATAGCATCTGTAACTTGAAGTCCTGGAAGCCTTGCAGCTGCACAAGTGTTCTGTTGAAGTTACTTTCGCATCACTGTAGTGTTAATCACTTTAATGTCTTCGAAATAATAGATTTGATATAAAATATTCCCAAAAGTATGCGAGTCCTGTAGACACAAGCAGGTTACCGCATGAACGAAGGAAACCAAACTTCTGAAGCTCTCTTATATACACTATTTACATAATGATATATATATATATATATATATATATATATATATATATATATATATATATATATATATATTATATATATATATATATAATATATATATATATATATCGTGCTGAATAAACCAAACTGGAAAGTTTGGCCTATAAATCAGAGTAAAATTTTATTTTTGCTGTAATCTGCGAAAATCAATCTGAATGTAACGAAAAAATACATATCATTGATTTTAAGTAATACATAATTTTCAGTTACGCTAAGTGAGGTTTCCTAATTAAGTTAGATTTGGTCGTAAAATTAAAATTTTTATATCACTGTCAATGAAAAGAACATGTCCATCTGTAATTTTTTTTAACAAGTCCAGTTCTTAACAAAACTTGTTATTTGTGATGTTTTCTTGCGAAAGATTTCAACTTTTTAGTTCATGGAATATATAATAAAGTTCAGTCGATCGTTTTGTTGTACGTCAGTCACACTCCGTCAGTCACACTCCGTCAGTCACACTCCGTCAGTCACACTCCGTCAGTCACACTCCGTCAGTCACACTCCGTCAGTCACACTCCGTCAGTCACACTACGTCAGTCACACTACGTCAGTCACACTACGTCAGTCACACTACGTCAGTCACACTACGTCAGTCACACTCCGTCAGTCACACTCCGTCAGTCACACTCCGTCAATCACTGTCAATCACATTCCGTCAATCACACTTTGTCAATCACACTTTGTCAATCACACTTTGTCAATCACACTTTGTCAATCACACTGTCAATCACACTGTCAATCACACTGTCAATCACACTGTCAATCATACTGTCAATCACACTGTCAATCACACTCCGTCAATCACGCTCCGGTAAGAGTAAAGAAGCACAGCACTGTGACTGGAGCAACACACACATAACCCGAACACACGAGACAAAGTTATGACGACGTTTCGGTCCGACTTTAATCATTAACTACTGTGACTAGTTAATGGTCCAAGTCGTCGTATCGAAATGTCGTCACCAGTCTCGTGGTGCGGGTTTTCATTGCAGCAAACAGCGTCTCCGCTATCTGGTTCAGTCGCTTTTGCAGCCACGACTCGTCTGGTTTCTTGCACTATATTTTGTGGGCGGTATTTGTTATTGGTGTTAGGGGAATTTTGTGTGTTTCTACGTGTATGCGCGTACTCATCTATTTGTACTCACCTATTTGTGGTTGCAGGGGTCGATTCATAGCTCCTGGCCCCGCCTCTTCACTGACTGCTACTCTCTCCCTGCTCCATGAGCTTTATCAAATCTCGTCTTAAAACTATGTATGGTTCCTGCCTCCACTACGTCACTTTCTAGGCTATTCCGCTTCCTGACAACTCTATGACTGAAGAAATACTTCCTATCATCCCTTTGACTCATCTGAGTCTTCAACTTCCAATTGTGACCCCTTGTGTGTGTGTGTGTGTGTGTGTGTGTGTGTGTGTGTGTGTGTGTGTGTGTATGTATGTATTAATACACCTCTACTGACAAGAATTGGTTTAATTCATGAAAAGCATTTCCAATATTTACTAAAAAAATAAAAAAAAAAAATATGTGAGCACACCGAGCTTACTGGGTGTCACCGCCAGTCTCATGCTCCTTGGTGTGTTATTCTTTCCAAATACCAAGAGAGGGAATCTTCTCTGTTATGATGCGTAAATTTTAGCATCCTAGGTTATCCTAGGTTCTCTACACATGCTGGTATATGTAACTGTATTTGTGTATACCTGAATAAACTTACTCAGGAATTTGTGTGTGTGTTCTTCATCTCTTATAGCTAAATAGATCTCGTCATATCAACAGTTAGTGGATGGAGGAGCACTGCAGCAGGCCTACTGGCCCATGCTATGCAGGTCTCTCAAAGCCAACTATTCCCACCTGTTGACCCATCACTGCCTAAAACAACTCGTTTTAGTTTTTTCTTAGTTTTTTATACTCTCACACACAGCTCTGAATCCAAGCTTTTTTTGGTGAAATCCTGTTCAGGCAGACTGTTATTGTCCAAGGCCAGCAGGTCAGTGCAGTAACAAAATTCCGAGTGGTCCAGTAGAGCCTGCAAGAACTTGCCCATTTGCCCTTGAAGATTTTTTTTCCTTTGCTCCGGCAATATTTCTTTCATTTGCTGGGGTGGACTTGTGGTTTTCATGACTAACATTGTTTTCTAATTGTGTTTATGATATTGTTTTTCACTGAGTTGTTCTTCACCTCCGTGTCCATCAATCACTGACTTGTTATTACAGCATGTTGATTAGGAACCTGTCTTTAAATTGTTTTCCCTGTGTAGATTGTAATATATCTTGTACTAATATCATTGCAGAGAGTATCTACTGAATGTTCTGAAATGATCATTTTGGTTACATTTTGCTTACGTTTCTCCACATTAATCTACATCTATTACTCCTCTGACTACAAAATTTACATTATTACTTTATTAACACATCAGCCGTCTCCCACCAAGGCAGGGTGGCCCAAAAATGAAAAATTTTCACCATTATTCATTCCATCCTCAAAATCTATATATGCTAATCAAATAGAAGCTTCCTAGTGTGTTCAGAATTTTTTCGAGTTATTTTTGTCGTCAGCATTCCCGCCTATGTTATTCGCTCCCTCACTCAGTTTACCTCTAGATGAACGCTCCGGGAATTTTGCCCACCTGTGCGTTTTTTTTTTTTTTTGTCTGTTGGTCAACCAAGCCATGATCAGGCAGAAAATTTGTTCTGTAATGAACCGTGTGCGGTGACCATGTTTTAATTAGTTTTGAATTAAGCTTTGAATCTTTGTGAGTCATTCATCCCGTGTTGTAGCGGAGGCCCGATACTTCGCCCGATAATCGTGACCCGGTATATCTCCGGTCAGCCCGATCAGTGTTGTGTGAAACACCTGAGTTTTCATTGAAGACCAGATAGACAACGTTTTACTCATTATCACTGATCGACTTATGTTTATGTAAGTGACTTCAAAACGCACTGACTCAGAGCAATACTCGTACGACTAGCAATTCCAGTCGGAGCGTTGTTTTTATGGGAGGTCAAATTTATTTGGAAGCACTGTACTTTTCTTTGGAACTGCCAATATTTTTTTCAGTGGTGTAAGCTACTTTCTATTTTTTTGTGATATTTTGGTTTTGTGATATCTCAGATAATGAACTTCGCTAACTAATGTTGATAGCTTCAACCCTCTTACTACACAGTGTTGGCTCACCATCACTTGTCCTCGACCACTTTCATCTGCATCACTCCACCACCTCTTTTCATCACTGGCTGTAGACGATTCTAAGTTGGAACTTCCACTGAAACTACTCATTTTGAAATCATCCCCCTAGTTCCCTCTCTCCCTCCCTCTCTCCCTCCCTCTCATCCTCCCCACTTTTCCTTGTCGAAATGTTTTCAAGATACACAGCCGCTGATCTGTCTTTAAGGTTCTATGTAATCTTAATTTGAGTCTTTCCTTTCACAGGGTAACTAATGCATCGAAGTGATGATGAGAACTGATGAACTCCTCGTTTAAAAAAAATCATTTGCCTAACAGGATGTGCCGTAAACGCCACTTTTTCGTTTTTATTCGCAAATAACTTCAGAAGTCAAGACAGGGATCTCCTGCAGCAAATACTGGCCACCAGAATGGCTGGATGCTTCGAGCAGCGTTGCAAAGCTTCATTATAATCATTATAAGGCTCCTCATCCACTCTTGCAAATCACCGCCCTAATCAGCACAAAGCTTTGTTAACAACTATTGAAGGTTTCACCAGCACTAGGCTGCATCATAAGCACTATTACAAGGTTCCACTTCGGCTATTATTAGTCTTCACCACTAGCACCGCAAGCCTCTTCTATCACCACTAAAGAAAGTTTAGTTCAAAAAACAGATTTCGCTTTAAATTTTTCTAATAAATTATATAGCCTAAAATATGAGTTTACTTAAACTAAGTTTACCTTGAAAGTCAATATTCACTGGTTTACTGACGTTACAAAACATACCACGAGCGGAGTATGGTTTGTAACGTCAATACATATTGCAATATTTATATATATTGTAGCTAGTTTAACCAGTAGCTAACGCGACGGTCTGGAGTTTTGTGACTGATCGCGGGTTTTAACCCCACCCGTGGTATGTTTTATTTGCAATCGTGCCATTACGATTTCGTGAGTCGTTTTATTGACGTTACTGCACAGTGTGGCTGTAGAGTCCAATACACATTTTTAAAGATTTAAAACCTTAGAAACATAAGTTTTTA